GCCACCTATGCAGGGGCCAGGAGGCAGGACAGAATCAAGGGTCCTTCAGGAATCCGGAAAAGTCTGGAGGAGTGGTGGAGGGGGGACGATGGTGGGGAAGGAGTATAGAAAAGTAGGTGCGATTTTGGTTGGTTGGGTCCCAAGAGAGCCTCTTTTGTAGCTAGGTGTCTGTACCTGGGGAAACGGACTCAGACTCCCTAACCTGGGAGCCCAGGCGGGCCTCTGCAACGCCAGCTGCTTCCTGATTCCGCTCCCACCTCTCTCCTCGACCCCCAGCATCTACCAGGCTGGAGCACTTGTGAGCACCCGCCTGCCGGGTTCTGGCCCCTGTGCCACCCTCCACAGCATCCTTAGCACCGAGCAGGCCCACCGTGAGACAGGAGGGACGCTGGCCTTGCACGCGCAAGCTCTGTGGCTGCGAGAAACTTTCAGTTCCTCAAAAGTAAAACCCACCACACACGACCTGACCTGTGGTACTCCCCATGACTGGGCTAGGTGAACAGCAGGTGCTGGAAGGCTGGTCTGCCCCCTGACCACTGTGCTTAGGGTGTCCAGGCAGAGGCTGCCAGAACCAGAGCCCATTCCCAAGGGAGAGGGGCCCTAGCGAGCACCCCCCACCACAGTCTATTTCACCCAAGCCCCGGTCTTCTCCCCACCTACCTGGCCACTCCCGTTCTTTTATTAAGCCAGGAAAATTAGTTTTTGTGTGTTTGGAGTATCTGGGGACAAAGAAAGGTGTCAGAGGTCACCCCAGAGCTGATGCAACTGGAGGAATCCGCTCCTCCACCCCTAACCCACCCCCACCACTCTCCCGCCGCCAAAAGAAAGGCAGACGGGCAGAAGCCAAATGTGATCCGGACTATTTGCATCAAAAACCTTCTGCCAAAGATATTTTGAGGCAGACGTCTTTGCCTGGCCCTTTGAAACTCCCAGGTCTGAGCTTGCAGGGAAATCACCCAGGCCAACCTCTCTCACTGGAATACTCCTTTTCAGGCATCCCTGGCGAACAGAAGAGTCACTTCTGAGCCCGCGTGCTCCTGTCGGACGGGATGTTTGTTCCTGATGCTGACCCAAAGTCCCCCTTCCTGATGCTTTAACAAACAGGGCCTTCTACCTGCAGGGTTATCGCTCTGCCCCTTGATAGCTCTTCAGATACTGGGAGCCATTTATCGCAGCCGACTCCTGGTCTGCTGCAGGGCAAACATCTCCAGATGACCTCTCTGGCCAGGAGTTTGACCTTTGCTACTAGAGGATCAAAGCTGACAGCCATTACCTTGCCTTCTTCCAACTCCCTGCCCGCCCTCCCCCAGTGCCACTCAGTCTGGCTGTCTGGCTCCCTGGCTCCCAGCAATCCCCAAACTGGCTTTTACTACTAAAGTGAACATCTGCGTATTGTGTGGCCTTGGGTAAAATCTAAACCTTCCCCTACTTGGAGGTACCAGCTTATCTCCTGCGTGAGGCTGAGGTGAGGCTCAGCGGTGACAAGGCACAGAAGTGCCTGACTGGCACACAGTAGGTTCTCAGGAGACGTCTGTCTCCCTCCTGTCCGTATAACTAAGACTCGCCTGGTAAGACCACACTCATGAAGCTCATGGACATGCCCAGGTTTAGGAACAGCCCAGCACTGGGGACCGGGGTAGGGGGCAAGGAGGGCAGGGGGGCTCATGGCAGCTCAGGGGCCCCCGAGCTCCTGGGAGGACGTGGCTGAGAAGCCAGGCCGGACAGCGAGAAGTGCTCTCCAGACAGCCTCTCCGGAGGATCACCAGACCAGGTCATCGGAAAGCCTTTAAACCCAGGAGGGCCCTCAGGGACTGTGGCCAGTATGCCCGGCATCCCCCTCCTACGTTCAGGCCTGATGGCCCCCACCATACCCAAGGGTGGTCCAGGAACCCAGAGCAGCAGGGTCAGCAGGGGCCAGGTGGGAGAGGGGCCAGGGCAGCATTGCTGGTAATGAGTAAACCCTCCCTTCCGCCAGGGCCTAGGGAGGAGCCCCTTCCCCAGTGACCTCTGCTGCTGGGAAGAGGGCTTAGGGCTAGACTCACCGAAATCCAGTCATCCAGGGCCCAGGAAGCTCTAGCAAGGACGCAGGTAATGGTGGGGACTCCCTGCCCCTTCACCGTCCACAGCGCAGGCAACCTGCCTTCCTGCTGTTCCTGGAAAACCCCAGGCACACTCTCACCCCAGGACCTTTGCACGTGTGTGCCCTCTGCCCGGAATGCTGTTCCCCGAGATGTCCTCACGGGCCCTTCCTCCCCTCCTTCCACTCAACTGAACGTGTCAGCCTCCCCTACACTCTCCATTCCCTTCCCAACTTTATTTCTCTCCACGGTGCTGGTGCCATCTCACCAGGTGTGAGTTGTCAGGTTCCCCCATTGCATGTAAGCTTCCCAGGGGCAATGTTTCTGTCTGTTCATGTTCAGCTGTCTCCCTGCCACCTGGGTCATGCTGGCACAAAGCAGGCACTCAGTAAACAATGAATGACAGAGTAGTTCTGCCACGCCCAGGTGCTGGGTGTCTTTGGGTGAACCATTTCTCTGGGCCTCTGGGACCATGTCTATGGAATGATAAGGGTGAAGGATCCTGGCCGTGTGGCCAAGGGCAAGTGGCTTACCCTCTCTGACTCCCAGTAGAGGGGAAAATCTTAACCAGAGAAACAAGAGCTAAGATGTTTGAGCTGTTGCAAGGCTGCAGGCTTGGTGCTCAGCACCATCATCTTTGAGTCTCATAACTGCCCTGTGAGGGAGGGGATGTTATTCTGCAGTCCAAGTGGGAAGGTGACGCATGTGGAAGGGGCTGGTCCACAGCCACACAGCTGAGTGCATGATGGGCTTGGAACCTGCCGGCCCAGATGCAGGCCTGCCTTTGCCCCTTGGATGGAGCAGGCGATGCAAAAGGCCCAGCACCAGATCTAGTGCATTTGCAGGACCCAGCACTTGTTCACAGCCTCAGTGCTCAAAACCCACCGTGTTTCTGCACCTTTCTTGCTTCTTTTCATCACATCCACCCTTCGCTGAGGAGCCTCAGAGCTCCTGTAAGGACAAGGACAAAACGTGATTCCTCGCCATGTCCTGTGAGTTCCCCTGTGGCCCAGGTGTGGCCGCCTCCCCAGCCTGTCTCGCTCCCTGTGCTCCAGCCACAGGGCCTTTGCACATCCCATTCCCTCTGCCAGGCACACACTCCCTTCTCTTCGTGGGCAGCAAGGGCACTTCCTGCTGTGGCCACCACCGCATCCCCTGCACACACTCAGCACCAGTCAGATACTCATCGAATATTCACCCAACAAATGAATAAGTGAATGAACGACGGTCAAAACTGCATTTCAGTCCAGTGAAATTATCCCTCAAAAATGGAGACAGAGTAAAAGGTGTTTTCAGACAAATGAAGGCTGAGAGGATTCATCCCCAGCAGGCAGGAGGCAATGCCTGAGAGTTCCTGGGGAAATGCCTGCTTCCACAGAAGCCTGGGGACACCGAAGGAGAGAAGGGATAAATCCAATGGATGTTAGACATTTGCATCAGTGAAAACATCTTGTGGGGGAAAATATTTATCTTCATGATGGAGAGAAAAGGCAGAAAGGCAGAAAGCCCCTAGGCTTTGACCATGAGCCGAC